TCCCCCTCCTTCTACTATTTCTTCTACTACTACTACTTCTTCTCCTTCTCCCTCTTTCTCCTTCTCCTTCTTTCTTCTTCTTTTTCTCCTTCTCTTTCTTCTTCTCCTCTTTCTCCTCCTTCCTTCTCCCTCCTTCCTCCTTCTCTTTCTTCTTCTTCTTCTCTATCTCCTTCTCCTTTTTCCTCCTTCCTTCTCTTCTTCTCTTTCTTCTTCTCCTTCTCCTTCTTCATCCTCATCCTCTCTCGCTCTCTTGGAAGGAGCCCCTTTTCCTACAGCTAGGCCGGCAGACAAAGAGGCGGTGACATGAGCCTCCATCCGGATTTGCCCCCCTCATTTTCAAGCCGCTCTCCCGGGAAGGATGCGCTGGATCCAAACAAGCCAAGCTCTGGGACGCCGCCTCGGACCTCTGGCCCGGGACTAAACCCGCCCAGCTGCAAGGCTTGAAACCCACCCACTCCCAGCAAGGAAGGGCCGCTCCCTCCCGGTTCCAGGGACGAGCCCCTTCCTCGCCTGGCCGGACACACCTCTTAGGTTCGCATTTTTGAAAAGGGCGCAAGTCTTCTGGTTTAAACGCCCGCCTGCCCGTCTAAACGGGCCACCTGCCGTCGGAGAAGCGAATCTTTCGCGCGGCTGCGCTTCGCAGCTTTCTGCCCCGCAAAGAATCGCTGGCAAAAGCTGGGGAGGTTTGAAAAAGCGGAGGGGGGGGGAGCGGGGGGGGGGGGGAGGGGGGGGGCTTGCACAATTTCATCCCACACCTTCGCAAAGGGGGGGGGGGGCGATCCCCCTTCTCCCTCCCGTTTTGGATCAGCGCAATACGCAAAAAATGAAGTTTCATTGTAACACGCAATAGGCAAAACTGAAGTTTCATTTTAATACGCAATAGACAAAAAATGAAGTCTCATTTTAAAAGGCAACAGGCAAAACTGAATTTTAATTGTAATACGCAATAAGCAAAACTGGTTTCATTTTAAAAGGCAATAGGCAAAAATGGAAGTTTCATTTTAATACGCAAAAAGGAAGTTTCATTTTAATATGCAGTACGCAAAAAATTAAGTAATTTTAGTATTCAATGTGCAAAAATTCAGTTTACTCTTTTTTTTTTTTTACACACCTCCCGTAGGCAAAGCGAAGCGAGCTTTAACTTTTGTTTTTTGTTTTTGGGAAGGTGGGGTGGGGGCAGATGCCCGTCCTGCGTTCCGTAGAAATTAAATCATGAAAATCGCCGCCTCTTTCGTGCTAAGAGGAATTGGCGTGAAGAAGGCGGCGAACGGTGTGCGTGCGTGTGTGTGTGTGTGTGTGTGTGTGTGTGTGTGTGTGAAAGGGAGAAAGGAATCGCGCGTCGAGCCGGGCTTGGCTTTATTTTTAATTTCCTTTGCGCGCATTTCCCCAATTTTTGGGGGGGTGTGTGTATGGAAAAAATAAAATAAACGCACTCCCTTCTGTTTAAAGCCCTCTCCGGAAAGGGCGCCACGGGGAGAGCGCAAGGCCGGGCCTTAAGCGGAGTGAGTCCGCCTGATTGTATACTCTCCTCTCTCTTCCTCCCTGCACCCCACACCTTTCAGTCCCCTACAAACTCTTCACTGACCACGGCGGCCTGAACGAGAAGCGGAAGCAGCGAAGGATTCGCACCACATTCACCAGCGCCCAGTTGAAGGAACTGGAGAGGGTCTTCGCCGAAACCCACTACCCGGATATCTACACCCGTGAGGAGCTGGCCTTGAAGATCGACCTCACCGAAGCCCGAGTACAGGTAGGGAAGAAGGGGGATGGGGTACTCAGTCGGGGTTAGTTAGTTAGTTAGTTAGTTGCTTGCTAGCTTGCTTACTTTACTTTATTGTCATTGCACCTGGTGCAACGAAATTAAATGCCATCTTCAGTGTACATTATAACCATCAGAATAAAACACGAACACGCACCCTTCGCTTTCAATGCAACTGAATTGAAAACCTCGGATATTGCATTCATATCGCACTATACGGGGAAAAAAATTAATCTAGTGGCTGCTCTTGGTTGGGGGACTGGTCAGGGCAGGTGGGGAAGCCCACCGCGTGGACCGAAGAGCTGTGGGGCAAGCAGCGCAGGCGAGGTAGCGAGAGAAATTTGCTGGATGCCATCCGACCGGCTGAGAGAGAGAGAGAGACAGACAGACAGAGACAGGCAGAGAAAGAGAGAGAGAAAGAGAGAGACAGGAGAAAGAGAGAAAGAGAGA